CTAGCGATGGCCTCCAACCTAATAGCAATAGGCTCCAACCTACTAGCGATGGCCTCCAGCCTAATAGCAATGGCCTCCAACCTAGTAGCAATGGCCTCCAACCTAATTGCAAGGGCCTCCAACCTACTAGCGATGGCCTCCAACCTACTTTGAGAGAGAGAGAGAGAGAGAAAGAGCTCGAGGCCGTGTTTCTTGGCTCCACAAGGTCTCGTGGTCCACCACAGCAAGGGTGATGAGCCCTTATCAGTGAAGGAAAGGGTTCAGGACGGACCGATCGGATGGAAGAGGATCCTGAATTCGGCAGACTGGGCAGACAAAGTAGACTCAGAATGACCCATGAAATCTGCAGGCGTTCTTACAGAATCGTCTTCCTGAACTTGCTGCTCATGTGGATGCACATGTAGCCAATCTCACTGAAGAATTGCGGAAGGAGGCAAGTCAGATGATTCCTCCACATTGACCGTTGACCCGTTACGCGTTGGAACGGAAATCGGTCTCCGTTGGCAGGTGGATGAAGAAGTCGCTGAACGATTTCTCAGGCTCTCATCGCTTTGCAATCCCGTCCGAACTTCACACTTGCTTAGTTTGCTTGTTTTGCATGGAACCACCTACAGTGCATGCTAGGACCGCGTCAAATCGTCGTGTGTTTGACGGACAAGCCAACTTCCTGCGCTGGAAGAATGTTCGCCACAAGGCATGCCAGGAAGCTAATAAGCTAGGAAGCATTTCATTTTGCCATTGCTTCCGTTAGAACCGTGGTCAGGCACTACAAAAGAGATTGGATGCCAACATGCACAAGTGGATTCTCGAGGCACTTGAAGGGGCCTTCAGGGTGTGTTTGGGGCACAACCCAGGGGTTACAGTTGGAACACATGAGACATGAGCAAAAGCTCCAAGACCAGCTTAGCAGACTCCCTGCTTTCTCTCCTTGTGATGCACAACGAAGGTCGCAGGCATTTCTTTTCTTGATATGTTTTCATGACGGTTTGAAAGCCATCGAAGCCAGGGCATCGAGGGATGGGACCAGAGAGCCATGGATGCAAGACCCAAAGAAAGCAGCGTGCCATCCTCGGATCACGCAGACATAGCAGCTATGGTCCACATGGAAGCAGACTATTTTCTTTGTTCTTTGCTCTATTTGTTCCCAGGAAGCAGACTTGGTTTTTGAGTACCTTACGTCTTCTTCTCAGAGCATCAACAATTTGTTGGTGGATTGGACATGACACAATTCAGGAAGCGTGCAGTCCATGGTGAAGGGAAGCTGCCTTCCCAAATACCTGCTACTTTACTGCAAGGGCTGCACTTGCACAGATTTCTTTTTTATTCTATCCTGGCGGGTGCATTTCTTTGCTGAGAACATGTGGAGAATTTGCACTGTTTGTGAAACCTGCACTGTCCAAGGTGATCAGGAAAATGAGGTACTCCTACAGCATGCCATGTGCCAAGACATGCTCAGTAGCATCACTCTTATACTGGCTTTGAAGCCGTTGGACACTTCAGATGGAGCTGCCTTTGAGGCCTCGCATGTGGAAAGACAAGTTCATTTCGCGCTGAGTTTGGACTAAACCATAATCAGAGAGAGGATGTTGCATCTTCTTTTTGGTTTCACTCGGACCCTCGCCGTTGTGAGGGATTTTTGGCCCCCAGATGGCCACATAGAGCACTTCGAAGAAGCGCAGAAATGTAGAGGGAAAGGGTGTAAGTTCTGTGGCAGACTGAACATGGAAGCACTCGAAGCTCATGCCAAAGCACATTTGCAAACATCAAAGGCCTTCCGACGCTTTACTTGGAATTTGTGACCTCCTGAAAGATATTTTGGCTGTCCAGGAAATACTCAAAAGTCCCATGTCCTATATAACATTTAGGAGTACATGCAAATTTGGCTAACCTCTTACGGCTTTTGCAGAACGTACAGTAGCTCTCTTCATCTCTCTTCCGTTTTTGCAGCTGGCGGAGCCCTTGCCATGTACAGTACTTTGGGCCTGCTGGTGCTTACATGTGGTCCGGTGAGCTCTGCAAGATTCTCACTACTGTAGGTGCTGCTAGCTCTTATGTGTCGAATCCTAAGAGAACTGCCAGGTCTTGGTTGCCTTCATCGTGGCATGTATTCTTCTTCGATTTGCGGAGAAGGAGTGATGGAACATCCATGAACCCGAAAGACCGTTTTTGTCATCGGACCTCTTTGGAGACCCATCGCTCTTAGGTTGGAGGCCATTGCTACCATTATAGGTTAGAGGGCAGAGCGGCCTTTGAAAAGGAGTTGTCATCGGACCTCTTTGGTGCTCAAGTCAGTCCACGGAGAAGTCAGTCGGTTTTCGCTCCCAGGATGCGAGCTGGTGCGCCTGGCACGGTTTGTAGCTGCTTACTTGTAAGTCAGTTCACGAAGAAGCTCATTGAAGGCTGTCATTTCTCACTTGTGTGGCCAGTCTCCCAGTTTTCTTGCGGGGAGTCGCAATTCTCAAACAGCTGATTCTTTCATTTTTTGCCCATTTCAATAGCTGCCGGTCAGGCTGGAGTGGCCATTGCTGTCAGTGTGGTGGCGGTGATGCCCTACGATGTTTGGCAGGCTGCTATTTGTATATATTCGAAAACAACAGATTGTATACACATACGGACCAACCTACTATGCAACAACTTCCCTTGAGCCCGTTGGGTGGTGGTCTGACATCGTTTGACACAAAGGGGTAGAAGTAGTGTTCAAAGGTGTGACTGCAATGCATTCTGCAGACACCTTCCTTTGAGACAGGCCCTTTCCGCGAAGGATCACCATAGCCACTCGGGTGGCTCATTGCTCCGAAACACCTGGGCGACCTGGCGCAGCAAGCTCATCAAGCTTTCATTCATGGTTCATTTGGTTCACTCTTGGTTCAGAATTGGGTCTCTCGTTTTAGTCTTTCTTGCACTTTCCAAGGCTGCGACTTACTGGACGACTGCATTGCTTAGCTACCTCCTGTGTCCCATCCTCATGGAGTTTGAGGCCTCCGGAGACTTCACTGTGGCTGCGCGCTTAAGAACCTCTTTGCGGCGCAATGCTGTCTTCTACGGTGTCTATGCACTCATCATGGTGCTCCTGCTCATCATCCTGGTTGCCCGCGGCGAGGAGGGCAAACGTGCACACCGGAGCACTGATGCCTCATCTCCTTTCATTGTCATCTTCACCTATATAGTTACCCATCTCACCTTCCATCACGCCATCTCAATCCATAAATCAGCACTTTTGTGATCCCAAGGAGCATCTTGTTTCGGCCAGGTGCATGGAGACCTTCAAAGCTGGTGTATTGCTGCATCCAACGCTTGGGGTCTTTTTGTTCTCACTGTGCTCATGGGCTTTGGCTTAGTTGCGGTCCCACGGCACTTTTGGAGCTTATCCAACCCTGGCCTCCTTCTTCAAGATTTGTACAGACCCAAGGCAGCAAGAGAACCTTCGAGACAGTTGCACAGCTCATGAAGCAACAGAGGGCAGAGAGGAATTTTGACTGCTGGACAGTATCTGGATAGGTGTGTAAGCAAGGGAGTTCAAGGGATGGTTCTCACTTCTAAATGACCCATTCTCTGCTGATGCCTCTCATCTCCAAAAGATTGTCCTGGAGACAGGGTCTCGCTGGAGACATGTATTTGACCAGTCTCGACAGAATGTGTTTCTTGTCTCCAAGAGCTTCCAGCGGCCTTCTTTGTACTAGGGGGGCAGTGACGTCGTCTTCGCGCTGGGCTCCTAGGGGGTAGTTCTGAAAGCTTGCCGGGCACTGCAAGGATGCCCAATTGGAATTGGATGCCATAGGATCTGCTCGCATTACTATTGATATCTCCCACCATAAGATTTCGCCCTGCTCAACTCTGAATGCAAGGCACGCTACCTTATGTTTCCCTTCATGTCCCACCTTGACTACGCCTGTAACCCTGCTTGCCAGAATGTTCCCCTACTTGCCAAACTGCGAAAGGAATAAGGGCATAGCGATGCCCTTTGCTCCTAGTAGCGTCCTTTGCTCCTAGTAGTAAGGCCAGGAGCCCCTAGTAGCGTCCTTGCTCCTAGTAGCGATGCCAGGAGCCCCTAGTAGCATAAGGGCTATGCTGCAGTGATCGATGTTAGCTCCGAAGGCACTGCCTTCGTCAGCAATCATGAACGAGCAAGCAGCTCCAAGGTTGACACGTCGGCGTTTGTGAACCGGGAGAATCAATAAACAATGCGGCGATGATAACATCAAAAGAACAAACATGTGGTTTGATGTGCTGCAATGTGGTTGTTGCTTATTTGATGTTTCAGTGCTTTTTTGGGATCTGGCCGCTTTGAGCAGTTGATGAGTCCTAAGGAAATGCCGTGGTGAAGGACGAAACTCGACTCAGTCGCCTCTTCGAGCTTCAAGATGCTGTTGCTCAAGCCAGAGCCGAGCTGGCGGCCCATGTGCAGCTGGAAGATGAGGGCCCCACTGCGGCGACACAACGTCGGGCCTTTGCGACAGTTTCACAGATGACGGATCGATGTGAATGCCTTCACATGGAGCTCAGCGGCGCACGAATGCCAGTCAGAGATAAAGGCATTGGAGGTGCCGAGTGTCAAGAATGTGCAGCTGTCAATAATACAGTTCTTTAAACATACGTTTGATATTGTTTGATCACGATTTTGGAATGGCTTCAGCCTGTGCAATGTGGACAGGCATCTCCCAGTCACCATCCGCAACGCTTGCCTTACATCCACCGTGCCTGCCTGAGAGTACTTGCAAGTTTGGATTTGCTGATGAGCAGGACACATCGCAAGGAGTTCTTATTAGATTTTATTCGACTGTTAAAGGATTTGCAATCGTACATCCAAGGCCATCGCTTGCCAGATTTGCTGAAGTTCACCGAACCTTGAAAGCTGCAGCTTTGGAGGCCCGTTGAATTCCAGGGTGACATCCAGCTTGCATTGTTACGAGAGGCAAGACGCGCATCTTGCTGCTTCGACAGCCACATACAGCGCTGCATTTTTTTCGAGGACACATGCACCTTTTCTTTGGATTGTGGCTGCAAGCCTGACACAGGTCCTTCAGCAGTTCGCATCAGCTTGTGGCAGGATCTAGAGCAAGGAGATCATCGGGCTGCAGTCAGCATGCTTGGAGTGCATTTTGCTCAGGAAGCCATTGACGTCCATTTGCAACCTCACCGCTTACAGTAGATTAGATTGAAATGCCACTGTTTGCCAGCTCCAATTTTCACTCAGTCGTCGCGCGACGATGCCCAGCCAATTCCGCTTTTTTGCGCGATGCCCAGAGCAAGCAAGAGTGAGGGCTCCACCAAGCAAGCCTTTGCTGGAGTGAGGGCTCCAACAATCTGCGTCAAAGTCTTCTGAGCTTCTGGCTTCGACATATCCGAGTAAGTCTGGCAAGATTTTTGCATTCACTAGGCCAATGCGTGTGACTTGGAACGAAAGTCCAGTCACCTTTTTTGGTTGCTTCCACCAGCCTAGCTGCACGTTGTTGTTTTGGTGGCAGGCACGTGCTTTGCTTGGTCTTGGTCACGCCACCTGCCAAAAATAAGTTCTTTGTTTCGGGACATGTCACATCGCAGTGCTTTAGTCACGCTCACATAGACTCAGACTCTAGCCGTTTGCTTGAAGGCCTCCTGCATCCTCAGTGCCATAGCCTGGTGCCCAATATCCAATGTCTCACCCAGGTACACGAAGATCAACCAACTTATGTGACTCGTGACTCTTGTGACTCTGGTGCTTAGGTTGTGCTGGGGCAACTCACTCTATTTGCAGATGGCTGGCATCTTTCGTTGTGCATTCGACACATTTTGGCTGTTTTTGTCAGATGGAGCTTGAGACAGATCACTCCCACTTGCCAGGCTTTCCTTGTTCTTCCGGCAAGACTATGGGCCTTGCTTGACTCAGGCGCAGAACTGATTGACATGGAAGTTCCTTCCAAACTCTTTCCACACTGGATGTCGAGGCGTTTTGCTTAGTGCCTTTGGCCTATATGGCCTACACTGCCTACTTTAGTCCCTTGGCAAGGTTTCTTAATTTGGTGCAAGGAATCAACGGGATCGGATCGTTTTGCGAAGGTATTTTTCGCTTGAAGATTTCTGGATGGTACGGCTGACCCCCTAGCCTACGTGCCATTTCCCATTTCACAGAGTGGGCGTAAATTTGAGCTGTGAGGTTTGTGTGCAACCCCCCGAGGTTTGTATGGAAACCACAGCACGGACACGGGCAGCTTACTTTGGTGTGAATCTTATGTGTGTCAATTCGAAGCGGCAAACATTTTTGCCACTCTCTAGGAAGTTTGTGTATGTGCTTGCTTCTTGAAATCTTTTGCCTGCGTGCAGATGTGGTGGGTTTCTTGATTTGGCTCAAGACGCAGACTGAGAGCGGCTTGTCTGACCCATTATCAGACAGCCTTGCCCTTGGCGCCATTGGTGATATCGTGGATGCTTCTTGGATGGACTGGTTTCTTTCAAAGGAATAGCCAGTAGGACTTGCATCAATTGAGATGTGATGTCCCCTTGTAAGAGACTTGTCAATCATGTTTTTGAGAACGACACACAGAGTCCTGGTGGCATGGAGTTCATATTCTTTAATGTTTTTTTTTTTTTTTTTAAATGTTCTTTTTTCACCGTTTGTGGTGTGCTAGCTTTTGGTGGCTTGGGCTTTTGGCTTTTGGCTTTTGATGGCTTTTGTGATCAGATGTAGCACCAGTTACATGTCATGTGCATAGTTGTGTAGAGATGTATGTCTCACTGCAGCCGTTTGTCTAGCTTACGTTTGGGTTTAGTTTTGCTTAGCTTGGATTTATTTGCTTACTTCAAGCGTGAGCTAAAAGCGTGCCTAAACTTGGAATATAACCTTTGGGGCTGTGACCCTGAATCACTACGTTTGTGAGCATAAAATCTCCGTTCATGGTAGCGGAGCTGAGGTTCTAAGACCCAGCTACCGTCTGCGGATCGAAGGTTGCCGAGCTGCATCAGTTCTGGCACCGGAGATCCGTGAATACAAACATCACTTGCAGGAAAGCCGGCTTGCTTCAGTCCTGGCTCGCAAGTCAACATGGCACAACAGCAAGGAGCACAGGCACAGCCCGCAGACATGGTGCAGCAATTTGCACAGATGATGCAAGCACTAGCGCAAGGGCAGAATCAACTGCAACGAGCAATGGCAGAAGCATACACCCAGCAAGCGGCTATCACATGGAACATCGCAACCAGTGTGGAAGTGCGAGACAGGTCAGAGCTGAAAGGCACCCCAAAGCTTGACATTGGTACCTGGGATTCATGGTGCTTCAAGTTCAAAACTTGGATCGAGACAAGTCACAAGAATGCAGGAACGTGCACTCAGCTCATAGAGGAACACCAAGACACAGAGATCAATGAGACATCTCTGGAAGACGATTATCCTGAAGGAGCCGAGCTTGTTTTAGCTCAGGCCCGACAGGCTCTGATTTAACTATGTGAGGGAGAACAACAGGTCAACGCTTTGGCCTAGAGTCATTGCGACGATTGATCACCAAGTATGACCCACGGAACCCACAAGTAAACTCAGCTCCGCTGAAGAAAGCCTTGCGCCCACAGCAATGTGCATTAGACAAACTTCGAGAAGGCATTGAGGCACGACTTGACGTCGACGCTCATTGTTTTCAATCCACAATGCCAGGAGGACCTGACTGTTCTACCGTTTGGCACCGAGTGACAAGAAACCATGCAAACAATGCAATCATTGAGAGTGGAGTCATGACAACTGACGCCAGAGATACTCAATGCAGCATTACCTCACAAGATGGACATCGTGACAGAGCCGTGGTACGAACTAGCCGCAGCACTACCGACAACAGGCGCAGCAACAGCATCAGCGTCAGGAATTCGCAGACCACGTGCCACGCGAACCTGAACCACATGGAGAAAAGAGAGAACATGAAGCGCAACATGAACCAGCAGGATCACCAACAGCAAAAGCAAGAATAGGCTAGACAGAGACAAGGAAAGAAACGGAGAAGGAGAACATGAAGATGAAGCCGAGAGAACAAGAGACACCCAGAGCATTGAAATGGCTCTAGAAAGCCTAATCCTGGAAGAAAGAGAGAGAGAGAGAGAGTGTGCTATCTAGCATCGACCCAGAGAAACCAGTGTGTGAAGGGAAGACTCCACTGCCAGAAGAAATGGCAGAAGAAGCAAGAGACTGGTGGTATTATGACGGCAACAGTGGAAAAGAACTCTTACCTGAAAAGGTAGAGAAAGCCAGAAGAGATGAGATCGACGTTGTCGAATCTATGAGAGTTTGGGAGAAGACCCCAAGAAGCCAAGTTCCAAAAGGAACCAAGATCATTGGAACTCGATGGGTTGATGTGAACAAGCAAGATGAAACCAATCCTCTCTACAGAAGTAGATTGGTAGCGCAAGAAGTCAAAAGAGGCTCAGGTTTTGACGATTTTTTCGCAGCCATGCCGAGCTTAGCAGCCTTGAAGCTACTGCTCACCATCGCAGTCAGCGATAGCCTTCCATTAGAGAAAGGCGAGAGAAGAAAGACCAAGCAATCTTTTCTAGGATTTTTGGACGTGGAAAGAGATCATTTCCACTCCCGTGGAGATGATTTTACGGCAGTAGGAAGTTTTGAAGACATCAAATGGTTTCACACTTCAGCAGCCAAAGAATGGCAAGTTGTCGAGGTATTCTCGGTCCGCCTGGATCACCAAAAGCCAGCCAACAGATCAGAGTGTTGAATCGTATCATCAAATGAAGACATTTGGTGGGAACCAGATCCACGACGTGCAGAGTTGATCATCAAGTGGTTAGGCGCTGGTCAACCAGGCAAGGTCAGGACACCATTGGCCAAGCCAAGTCAAGAGGAACTACAACATGAAGAAGTTCCTTTGAGCGCCGAAGATGCAACGATGTATAGATCTATCGCTATGAGAGCCGGGTATTTGGCGCAAGATCGACCTGATCTGCAAACTGCAACGTGCTCATTGGCCCAATGTGCGCAGAGCGGCCCTGGAACACGCTGAAACGATTGGCAAGGTATGTCAGGTATCGACCAAGAGTTAAACAGCTGTTTCCGCACCTGCTACCCCTTCAACATGTGGTCAGACGCCGACCATGCAGGAAGCATAAGAACACGAAAGAGTGTGTCAGGAGGCGTGCTCATGGCCAACAAATGCTGTCTCACTACCTACAGCAAAGGGCAAGGAGTTGTCTCCCTTAGTAGTGGCGAATCCGAGTATTATGGACTTGTTTCTGGAGCATGTCAGATGCTTGGAATTGCATCAACTGCCAAAGACTGGGGGTTGTTTCCCAGCAAAGAGGTGACAATGGACGCTTCCGCTGGCATCGCCATGGGAAGCCGTCGAGGTTTGGGACGAGCCAAGCATGTTGACGCTCAGTACCACTGGGTACAAGAGCGTACAGCAAAGAAGGAGTTTCGTCTCAAGCAAGAAGGCGCTGACCGAATGTTGGCCGACGTGCTAACGAAAGCTGTCGCCGAGGAAAAGATGAATATTGCAATGAAGGGCGTGGACTTCCACTACCTGGAAGGTGAACATCATGAACCGACACTGAGACACTGAGAGCTTGAACGGCTTGAGCTAGAGTAGGTACTTCTTCAAGACCAAGACGTACTGAAGGGCTACAAGCTAATTTACTCATGTGCTAACCCTGACTCGCTTAACTTCTGATAGATGTTAAACTTGGGAGGCGTGATCAGACGTAGCGCCAGTTACATGTCATGCGCATAGTTGTGTATAGATTATAGATGTATGTTTCACTGCAGCCGTTTGTTTAGCTTAAGTTTGGGTTTAGTTTTGCTTAGTTTGGATTTGTTTGCTTACTTCAAGCGTGAGCTAAAAGTGCGCCCAAACTTGGAATATAACCCTTGGGACTGTGACCCTGAATCACTACGTTTGTGAGCATAAAATCTCAGTTCATTTTGGCTTTCGGTGGCTTCTGGCTCTTGGTGGCTTTTAGCGGCTTTGGCTTTTGGCTTCCGGTGGCTTTTGGTGGCGTGTGTAGGCTTTTCGTGGCTTTGGTTGGCTTCTGTTGGCTTCCGTGGCTTCATTCACTGATATGGTGAATATATTTTAGTTTTATAATGTTGTATATTCTTTTTAGTGGTCTATATACACATATATGTATATGTTATATGTATTTTCAGGCCTGGCTGTGGGAAGGACAGAAAGAAGGAATCCAGGAATAAAGGAAGCAGTGGTGTTGTGAGTGAGCTTAGCGGAGGTAGATGCCATTCCAACGTAAGGAGGCATTGGCCAGTCCAATGTAGCAGACCTTTTCTGAGCCAGCCCGCGACAAAATTTAGAGAGCGCAGAAGCCATTCCATTGTAACACGCCGGTAAGATTTTGGAAGAGGCAGAGGCAGAGGTGAGCGCAAGGCAGGCATCTGGATCAAAAGTAAAAGCCAAAGGAAAAGATTACAGGATCAAAAAGTCTTCGAGTCAACTGGTCCGCTGGTCCCCTGGTCCTTCGGTCTCCTGGTGCAGTCGTCCCCCTTGGTCCTAGTCCGCTGGTCTTCTGGTCCTTCGGTGTAAATATTGCGCGCGCTGTCCTGTCGTGGACGGGCCCCTCATTGCTTGGGCAATACGGTGTGTAGTTTTCGATGATCATGCGTTTTGCTGTGTCTTCAGCGTCTGGTGGGTTTTGTAGTTTGCAACCCCGCTTCGGCGCCACGAAACCTGCACTCCTTTGGCCAATGCGCTGGGCCGCCGCGACCGATCTTTTAAAGGTGGGCCCAAAGCGTATCCACGCAGCAAGTATTGCGCACCCTCGCCTTTCTTAAAAGCAGTTTTTGTTGCAATCCTCCTTATATGGTCCCTGGCTGCCCGCCCTGCTGCTGTTGTGCTTTCCCTTGTCTCCTTTTTTGAAAAAGCCGGAGAGGTATCTTAGCAAACCAGCCCGCGGACATACTCCCAACCCAAAACCAGTCGACTTTACTATCCTTTTCCTTTCATTGCTCATTGGGCATATTTTTTGACCCCTTTCTTTTTTTCTTTTTGTTTCCCGTCGAATATTTATTGATGCTGTGCTCATTTTTTGATCCTTCACACCGCAAGGCGGAAGACCTTGTGTGAGCCACTTGCAGGTAAAAGTTAGCGGAGGCAGGAGCCACACATCTAGCATACTTTTGAGCCAGCCGAGGGTGAAATTTATATACAGGAGGCATCGGCTATCCCAAGGTGGTGGTGGTGGTGGTGGTGGTGGTGGCAGTGGCGGTGGCGGTGGCGGTGGC